AAAAAAAAAAAACACTGGGTTTGTTGGAAAAATACCGTACTAGTCCGGGAGTAGAGGAGAGGAGGACTCGGAAGTCGCTCCCCTGGTGCTTCATCCATCAGCTGATTTATGAGTTACGCGAAGCACTTAATAACCTTCTCTTGTCCTTGTGTGCTCAGGCTCTGGGGAATGTCATGGCGGTGCACCACCCGAGGCTGAGAGAAGACCCGAGGCCATCTTAGAGAAAAAGAAAAAGCCTCTTGCAGCCGCTACATACCATGACATGTCTCGGTGTGCCATGCCTCATTGTTCTTGGGTGCTGCAAAAGAAAACACAAATAAGTGAGTTGGAGAACATTGACATTATTCATGGTCTTTATGGGGTTGACCATCACATCTGCGTTGGTTATGTACATCATTTGAATTTCAATTACACCGTTGCAGAGCATCCCCCCCCCCCCAATTGGGCAGCATTGTCTTACCCGCCCATGTGTTTTCTTTAGTGCTTCTCCTCAAAGGGTGACGGGCGAACCGGAGCCTTCCCCAGCTGACTTTGGACAAGAGGTAAGGTTCACCCTGGACCGGTTGCAAAGCAATCAAAGGGCACATTCACACTTATGAGTAATTTAGAGTCATCAAATAACTTATTATGGACGTTTCTGGAATGTGAGAGGAAGCTCGAGAAAACACAAGCATGGCGGAGCTTTGAGGAACATGCGAACCACTCGTTCATCGTGCTTCCATCGATTAAAGAATTATGAAATCATTATTTTTGGTCTCAAAACTAACCATTGAAACTGTTTACCCATAAAAAAAAAAATCCACATTACTGCCGTTCTGCATTGCCTGTACATTTCACTATTTACATATGTACATGTCAAGATATCCCACATAAGAACATTATGGACATTGTTCAAAACACGTTTGCGCCCCCTGTGGACAAAAGGGGAACATACTTGACCACGCACCTGCTGCAGTATTGTTCTCTACCCGAGAATTGTCTTGCTAGCAGCAGAGAAAACTCATTACAATGCATGACTTTTACATTGCTACCAAATATTTGCTGCCGACATCGATCCATTAATGCACCGAGCGCCATGTTTGAAATCAATTGAAAGTTAGACAGCTCAGTGCCGTCAAGTTTCTGGATGACCTGGAACCTCACACTTCCCCATTCCACCTCACAGATTGAACACTCCAGAACGGCGATGAAAATCCCACCCCAAAATATGAAGGGATGACTTTAGGGGCTTGCTGTGGTACAAGACCTACCCCCTGAGTTCAGTCCCACGTCCATGAATTATACATGGCTCGCGTCACACCTCCCACGCAGGCTTATGTAATGTCATCCACGCGTGTGGAAGCGTATGCATGTGCGCGCGTCTACGTGGATTTATTTATAACCAGACTGGGATTGAGGGGAGGGTGACTCATTCTGTTTGCTCTTTATTTTTACCCCACTATCTTGCCACCCACACTCGCATCCTATCGCTGGGTAGAAAAAAAAATGGACTTTCACCGATGTACAAAGTTGGTTTACAAATTGAGATGATGCCTAAATCTATAGATTCCGTCCAGTATCGATCAATGATTCCGAGTGGGCTTTGGCTGCCTCACAGGAAAACTGCAGTTCTCTTTGTCTTATTTGCTCTTTTACTTGCATTGCAACGTAGTAAACGACACAGATCTGCGCATTCCTGATTAAATCTTGACAATTGCAACACTTTTAATTCGCCAGCAGGTGCAACAACCTAAACCAATTGAATTGCTTTGGGTTCTGTTGCAAGGCAAAGTTTGTGCTGTTTTTAAAGGACATCAGGGGAAAGGTCTCCAAAGTGCCGCGCAGCAGAAAATGGATGGGAAGAGGCGGCGACGTTGTTTTTGTCGTGCTGCAACAATCATTAAGAAACTAATGATCGCTTTTGAAATGAACTGCTTCCCCATAAACGAGTTTAAGAATACCGCTTAGGACAGCCGGGTGCTTTTTGCTCATTTGCTGGCACAGTTCCCCCAAATAAGGGCCAAGCGTGTTTGCTTCAAGCTGGCATTAGTCACTCCCAGTTGAAGTTGACTGTTTAAACTATCAGATTAAACAAAATGGAATTAGACTTTGTCCATTCGATTTAAACACTCAAATCATATCATATTTTCCGCTAAGTCCACTATCTTAATATGACCGCAACGCCATTGAGTGGCTAACGGATATTAGAATGGATGTTACAGTAATTACAAACCTTCAACTGCTATTTAACGCATATACTCACGGGCTGATACTGCACAGTATATTCCCTCTGTTTTGTCGTCACAACACCGGAACTCACTTGAGGACCGTGTCTCTCTCTCCTTCTGACTACTTAAATTGCGCTGCATCTCTTCCAGTAGACCGCAGTGTTGCGGCACAATGTTACTACGCCTAATTCAATTGCTATTAGCGTGAATAATTCACTAATCAATGCATCAAAAAGAATAGCTTTTCAACCCGCGATATGGCTCCAGCACAAACGATGAACCGCTACTTTCGTAGCTAAAACTGTGTTAAGTTTTATTACGTAATCCTACACCTGCCTTCGGGGCTCTTTGCTCGGCGACCTGTAGACTCTGCCGGCCATCGTTGTCACATTCTTGCTCACTAGAACTTAGCTAAGCGTTTGAGGAAAGGTCACCGCCGCCAGCGAGCAGAGTGAAAGCAACGGCTGAGATGAAAGTGCCCGCCGTATCCATCACCTGGTTCACCGAAAGCCGCGGGACGGCTGCCGCTGCTCAAATGAGCGGCGACGTCTCAGCGGTGGCTTGTTACCGCCACAGACCCCGGTGTACTCCATCAAAATGTCAGGGCCCAGGCAGGGCAGGAACGCCGGGATCGGGGGCCGCCAGGTCTGCGGGGGGCCGAATACAGAGCCGTCATTGTCTCCCCACCCCGTTTTGAAAAAGGCCAGCGTGCCTTTCTGTTGCATTTAGCCTGACATCCAAGCATTATGTAACTGTTCTAGTGGAGTACGTCGACTTTTGACGTGTGCACTGTGAATCCATTATTGATGAACAAGAAGTTGTTTTTTTTTTTTTTTCCCCCTCAACATCACAACTCATCTGGATCAAGAAAGCCCCAGACGCCTCACAGTTACAACTGACACAAACACATTACGTAAGAGCGCAGCAGAGTGCGCAGAGGAGGAAATCCTCTGGACCCGTAACTTTTAAAGTAGTCCACAACTCTCTGAAGGCGGCGTGATGCTATCTGAGCTCTGACACCAGGCCAGTCTTATCGCTCCAATGTTAAAATGTGTCTGCAGCACCCTCCGTGACTCAGATCGAAGATTCTTATCACAGAATCGTGGTACTTTCATCCCTCGAAAAGGGAAATGGGAAGCGTTTGACAGAGAGGGGAACGAACAAAAGGAAAAGCAATCCATTCTCGAGACACAAAGGGGCACTTCTCCAGCATTTTTACCCAAGTCTGACAAGTTAGAGACTCAAAGTTAATGCACAAGCATTCAGGATTTATAGTATTTTGTTATCGACGGTAGTTAAGGATCGTTATAGATTTGTATTTATTTATTGTGTTTTCATCACTGCATTGACAGCCCGCATGAGAGAGGCCTGGATTATTATTATTTTTTTGTCATTGGCACGCCATTGGAAACACTGCCATTCTTATTTTTGTTTTTTTGTTGTTTTTTTTTTTTTTTAAAGAAGGCATTGTTAATTTAGTGGTTCACATAGTTGACTTTCATGCTGCTGCCATGGGATCAGTTCTCACAGCACTCATCAGATAAATATCTTGTGACCAAGTGGAAACCACCCTGGGTGTGTTGCAATCCCAACATGACCCTCAACACAAGTAAAGCATTTCAGAAAATGGATGGAATTATGCAAGCAAGGGCTTATCAGACTGCATAAAAACAGCTCATTGTCCAAAGCATGGAGTTGACTCTAAATTCTATTTAAAACAGCAACAAGCCGTCACTTTCATCTCGAGTTTATCTCGTTGGTGTCAGTGCTGTGCAGCTCCAGATGAGAGCAGCCCACGACACCTTCCGTGCCTCAGGTGAAGATATGTGACTCATGTCTCGATTTAGAGGAGATCATCACCTGCTTGCAACGGATATTGACTGTCAAAGTGAGTGATGGGATCTCTCCGTCCGACAATTGCCGCAGGCTGGATTCGCCGCGGGCCTCCTCGCTTAGGGGCGCACAGCCAGCAGCATCGGTGAAAGGGGAGATGCTGACCTCTAGTGGCTGTTGTCGAGAACAACATTTTAAAACGCTTTTACCGTCCATCACCAACACAGCGACGCAATTGATGAAATACGAACGATTATCACCGCGGTTACTCTTATTTCTTCCCACAATACAAAAATTTATTTAAAAAATACATCTCTGGCTAGTACCTGGGGCTTGGCGTGGGCTTTAGCAAACTTAATTCACCTCGTAACTTCATGACGATGCAGAAATTCAATTGCAGAAACGATCAATAACATTGGTCAACGGCAAATTTTAATCAGAGATGGTTTTATGTGTCCGCTGGGAATAATTCGTGGAACAAATTACAATTTAGGAAGTAAATGTAGGTCAGTGTATCTGATAATGAACATCACTGGGTTAATGCAGATTCCAAATGACCTTTCATCTCTGTGAGGAAAAAGTGGTCAATAAATGTCTCCTTTTCGGTCTCATCCTGGAGACAGTGAGTATTTTTTTTTAATCATCACTTGATGATGTTGGTCTTACTGTCTCTTTGCACGTGATTGCAGCTCAAGACAAGGGTCCCTGGTCGCTCGCTAGTCATCGATAAAGGAGGAACGCCGTTGACTGCCAGAACCTTTCATTGTATCAATCAGAGCGAAACACCTACTCAATAGAACAAAATTGTCCAATCTAAATTTGGAGCAAAGGAAAACAAGGCCGTGTTTGGCCTTCATTTGATCACTCCTCTCCGGCTTTACTCCGATTTCATTGTGTTGCTGTCACTGCGGGAAAATGTGTCGGACATTCCAGGCCGGGAGGGCCGGGATGGAGGTTTGCTCCCAAAGTAAACGCAGACACAGAGATCAGAGCGAGGTCCAGACAGCCGGCGCTGCTCTGACAGTGGGGCCGGGTCTCAGATGGAGCCCGGCCTCGTGGACTGTTTGTCTGTTGTCTGCTCTTTATATACTGTACATGTTGAGCGACTGGAATCAAACCACAGAGCACAAAGGCAAAGTCAATAATGTGAAGTGATCTGCTGGGTCAAAAGACTTGGCCTGCTTCCAGTCATTGTTGACGGGGTGTTTTTGTACAAAGCAGGCATGCAGTCCCCTTGTCTGCACTCACGCTAAACTTTTGAGTATTTCCTGAGACGGAAATAATAAGACAATAGCAGCGAGTGGCCCAGCGGTCAGTAAGAGTGAGATGTGTGTGTGTGTGTGGGGGGGGGGGGTGATACCATCAAGTCTAGCTCCTCTACTTTATAATTTGAATATGCAAAGCAGCAGAGCGGCTGTAAAGCAGATTCGGTGTGATCAGATTTATTATCAATGGAAGGATGCAAATTATCAATCCCAGATTTTTGCTGGTTATGAAACTACCGCCAGCATAGTTTGAGTGCAAACCAGACGTCCAGTCGCACAGGTTAAAGACAAAAAAATATATATATATATAAAAAGTCAATCCTCAGCTGTACTAATTAAATTCAATCGCATTCATTCAAACCCTCGTCAGCTTCTCGGTGCTGTAATGTCATCACGTCGCATTGCGGAAGGTTTGGATGCCCAAGAAAGAAAAGGGAAAGAAAAAAAAATAAATCATATCCTGTCTGAGAAAGTTCACCCCACGGCTGGAATAGCAACAAAATGTCAAAAGTTACAAGACAAAACAATTGTGCGTGGTTAGCAATTGTGTTTCGTTCAGCCATGGAGTCTGGGGTACAATCAAAATGTTTAGGGAGGGGAATGGGAGGCCCCGTCCGCCTGTCATCACAATGTTGATCACGTATTGGGATTTTTTTTTTTCAGTCTCATGCCACCAAATAAAAACATCCAATTTCCTTTCACCCGATGAAGACAAAGCACAACTTTTCTTTTTCTCTAAAAATGGTCTGCTTTGGAGGCGGGTGGGCACGTAGACCTAATTTAGGAGCCAAGAGGTCGGGGCCTGATGAAAATGGTTGGGTTCATGTCTGCACGTCAGCCTCAGAGCTGCCAACAAAAAGCTGCGTACTTATATGTCTACTCGATAGGTGCGGTATGATTGGCTGGCTAACGGTCCAGGATGCACCCTGCCTCTCACGCAGTGAACTACAGTACTATCGTTGAAAACAGACATGGACGTGGCCGAGGAAAAATAATAGTATCATGTGCATGTCAGGTTCCAGATGGAAATAAGATCAGAGAAATATGAATGAGATGTTGAGTAGGATGGATGGCCAAGAAAGACACCGCCTTTGTTTTCTGACAGGGTGACAGCTGCTGGCAAGGCAGTGGGGGGCCTTGTTGTTACTTCCATTACTGAGCATGCGCACTAGTATCTCCCACCTGGCACTGACAGAACACAGCGGCTGTGTCCAAACTTGCAGGCTCCGTCCGGAAGTGACGAAATGCGGTCTTTGGAGGACCCAGCCGGTGAATTCGGATACAGTCAAGGTGTTGCACTTCAACCTTTTGGAAGAAAACAGCATCATACTAAGCTGTTGGCAAATCGTGTTTGTTCGAGGAAAAGAATCACAAGCGGACAAGGCGAAAGTTGTTTGCTAATTGTTGTTGTCATTTATTAAGTTTTTTTAATGGAAAAAGAAATCATGTTTACATAGTGCGTGCCTTCCATGTGTTTTTGTGCGTTTGCTGTGTTGTGATTGACAGGCGGAGGGCGCGTGCATATGCAACGGCCGGAAAGAGTGAAAAACCTGCCGACCACGCCGCCGTGCAACGAGCTGAAGCCCGTCGCAACCTGCGCCAACCCTGCCAAAGCTGCTCGCACGCTTTGGGTGTGTTGGCCGAACACAAACCCGTCTTTTTTATTTATAGATCAATCGCGTGAGCCAACTGGAGCGTGTCCCTGAGGACGAGATCAATCGTCTGCTGTGTATGGTGCTGGACGTGGAGTACTTGGACGCGTGCGTGCACCAGGAGGACGACGCCGACACCAAGCAGGTAAAGTAAGCGTGTAAATTGTGACGTCACTCAAGCGCGCCCGCTTTTGACAAGAGTTGTGGCATGTGTTTTGGGGGAAAGATTTGAGACCGATGTCAAGTTAGATAAAAAAAAAAAAGGCAAATAGCAATTTAACTTAATGGGTGGATTGTAGCATCAAGCGGAGTTTTTTTTTAAGTGCTTTAGTTGCTCCTGCATATACAGCACTGTAATGCTGAGGTTGCGTTAGTGGAATGCGTCAATCAAATTTGCTGAATTAATCTACGTGTATTAGACATGTTAAAAGGTCCCTCGGCATATTTTCTCAATCATCGGACTAGAAGAGGTTTTATTGGAAGAGAACCGAAGCTTCGATGTTCACATCGTACAGTGGTGCCCTAATCCGTTTAAGATTCACAAACTCCTCAAGACGTGTGCGTAATGTGTTTAACAATGAACATAGCACTCTGATATTGTACTAAAAAAAATTTAATAATAACTGATGCTATTCGTTAGCCTGTCTGCAGCATTTTGCATTCTTTGATAGCATTTGGTGAAATGGATTGTAATGAGGCAAAAATTTGCGGTTGTTATGAATACAGAACACGTAACTCTTTGTTTTTATGTTTAGTTTGACGGATAACTTCAACCGGGAGTGGCAATCAACAGCTTGAAGCCACTTTGAAAAATTGTTCACTATCTGACGAAATCTAAAAAAAAAAAACAAAAAACGTTTACATCAAGTCACTTGTATCTCAAGGCACCACTGGACAAATAGCATACTTGATTGTGTGACTCGTTCCACAAAAATAAAACACCACTCCACACAGTTTTGTATTCGAAAAAGATTTTTATTTCAACTAAGAGTTGATATTTACAAGGAACAATTTGTCCAGAAATAAGCCATTGTTATAAATATCAGTTGCTTGGCTGGTACAAAACGTTGATTTAAAAAACAAACAAACAAACAAAAAAAAACATTGTACATGATCTACAAGTGCCACTTTGGGTTTCGGCCCACATCGTCTCTCGTTAACGATTATCCGGAGTCCATTCACACGTCAGCGCACGGCACATGCAATCGCTCTTCATCATAATATTATGGGGCAACATCGCCCTCCTGTACGTGCAGCTCAGGGTGAATACATTGGCTCGCACCTTTGCCACAAAAGCAAAATTTATGCAACCCCGCATGGCTCCGAATCAATGCTTTTTTCTTTGGGCCAGTGATTCCCAAACACTGTGCTCCGAGAGACCATCAGTTTGATTTGGTCAGGTTAATTGTTCCCTAAGTGACAGGCAGACTATGTAAATGGTCTTCCACTAGATGGCAGTAGGTAGACTTAACCTGCGCGTCCAACCCTGTTGCCATTCATACAACAAAATAAGAGCTTTGCGTATCACAGCTCTCACGCCGAGACAAGATCGTCCTTATTTTTGTAAATAGACTTGTTGTGGCACATTTGGATGGCGGTGTGCAGTGACATTCTTCCAACATAGTCAAATAAGTGCCTTGGCTCAATAAAGGTTGTGGAAACACTGCTTGAGGGCACCGTTTAAAACTGCTAATTACCTCTTGGGATTCAAGCACAGCACATAAATAAATAGAACGTTGTTGGTAGCAATCATGCGCACTGCAACAGCACCGTTAAAAATCACCCATATATGAGGAAATTTGCACACGGAAAAATGCAAATAAATAGATTAAAAATTCTGTGCCAACACAGCAGGTGAGTCACTCGCAACTCGACATTGGTCTTTGAAATAATTAGGAAAAAAAGACGTTGTCGATTCAAATGGCGGGTTTGATTAGGCTTTCCAATTATAGTTTTACAGTTCTGAATTCATGGCAAACAATGACAGAGAAAACGTCTCATTTGTCATCGCCACACTTCAATTCTTTCAATTCAATGCGATGACGCCCTCTTGTGTCCCACACTGGTAGTGAAGGTGAGCCATGTCAGTTACATAACTCTTCTGAATAGATGGTGTTTACGAAAGGCACACCAAAAAAAAGTATTTAAAACACTGACTCATATCAGTCATGACATTTTGGTACCAATCTTGAAGCAGCAGTTCATCCCCAACCCCAAAAAAACAAAAATTTACATCACTGCAATGAGACAGAAGAAATAAAGCTAATATATCAGTGATACTTTGGCATAAAATAAACACCCATCTACTTCATACTTTTGGGTTTGGTGCCATGTGCCTTTTTGAATTTTAGGCCAGCAGTAAATTAATTAGGAAACCAGTTAACCTTTTTTTTTTTAACCCAGTGACACGAACTGTTATTTTGCCTACTTGAGCTAAAACAGTATCATTCAAGCACATCTTTTAAGCATCATCTCAAGACTGGAAAAAAAAGGATGCTATCACTCCCTAAAAGAAGAAGGCAAGAGTAAATTCAGTGCAAAATGCAAAGTTAAAGAGTCCATTTGTAAACCCCCCGAATAAGCCAGTGTCAATTCACCTGACCTTGAAATCACTTTTGTGTGTTCAAGAACAAGCAGCAAGAGCGAGTGGCGTCAATTCAAATTTGAATTCGTTTCACTTCAGCTAAAGCTAAGGAAGTTAGCATCTTTCTTTGACAGTGCCGTGGGATCACGCTGCCCTCCTTCGCGTCTGGGATGAAACGTGACGAGCTAGCTTGTTCGGGATTTGACAAATCAAACCTTTAGATCTTAATTAAGGGACATGGGTTTTTGAAAAAAGTAAAAAAAAAAAAACCCGAGAGAGAACGGCAGCAGAAGGGCTTAGGCTGAGGACTCTCAAACAAACTAGGTACTCTCCGTCCGGGTGGTTCGGAGCCGACTGTCAAACAGCAAACTTAAAGAGTAAGGACTGCAAAGGTGTAGTTTCCAACTTTTGAAAATTCCCACAATTTCCCAAACTCAACATGTTTCTTCTTGCGTTTGTTACCAAGGGCCCCAACAGGCAGTTCATTTTTTATTCAAAGGTATTTTCATTGTAAACAATAAATAAATATATAAATAAAAAGGCGCACGCAACCCACCGTAATGTCTGCACTGTAAAAAGTGATGAGCAGACAGCTGTAGCGGTGCTCCCAAACTTTCCATTCCCAAGCAATTTTTGGCACTGATACTTGTTTTCGTGTTTGCCGAATTCATCCCTCACTTTTCTGCTCGCTGCGATTGGAGAATGCAGCATTGAAGTTGTGTACGGAAGAGGAATGACAACGAGAATCTGTGAACGGTGGCGTAAAACCTTGGTGGGGATGAGGAACACTTTATAGCTGCTAACAGCTGTTTGGGTCATCAGCGCTCAACTTTTTGTTCAACAGGCAAGAGTCGAAAAAGGGGAAGCCACAGTAGTTTTGACGCTTTGATCATTTCCCATTCATCCCGAATAAGAGGACCCCCTCAAGGGTCACTGTCCACTAAAGGCATGCGGGACATCCCAGAGAAGCTCGTTGGCACAAAGTTACCTCCGGAAACACCCCCAACATGGCTTTCAGTCCACAAGCTGAGGATGGCGGGCGGCGTTTGTCTTGCGCCGAATCGAGTTCCCTCTGAATTTTGCCAATAAAGTGCGCTCGCAGTTGTGCCAGTATGGTAACAAAACGGAGACTTTTGGAACCCAATCCCAAACGGTCCAGAGGGCCAATTTAAAGTCTCCCAATTGGCTGCCGTTCATAAAGTCTGCGTCCTTCAAGATTTACCTTCGTTTCATAGTGTGGCCAGGATGCGTGAGAAGGAGATAATGACGGAGAGGCTGGTCTGGCCCACACCTAGAAGCAGAGCCTCCAGCGGCGCCATGTCCTTCCCCGCCACGCGGTACACACCCGCTATCGCCGCGCCTGGTGGCGAGAAAAGGCGCCACGAGCAGGAACCAATTAAACGCAGTTGCCGACAAAGGTGATCACATTTTACATTCCAGCTCAAGTTTACGATATGCATCTTCGTTCGGGATGTGGCTAATAACCGATTTGTCAGTTGGTGGGAATTCTGATCTGTCGAGACGAGCGCAATGAGTTTGCTGCCTGAAAAACAACAGCTTGACATGACTTAAAAAGTGACGATAGAAGGTCGACACACACGCGTTCAAATGCAGAAGTGGTCTGGAATTGGTTCTCTCGCCGACCTCAACGCGGACCTCCACCACGGAATTCCAGTTGGATCTAAATAAGACCATTTCCTTCACCTCTACTTTAGTTACCTTTTCCCATTTGACATTCTGCTGAGTGTATGCGCACATTAAGAGTATGTGTAGGTGCAGACGGTCAATAGTCAGCACTTCCTTATTGCTAAACATGAATAATATATTGTCTTGTCTATTTTAGGAGCCGAGCTTGGATCAGTGACGGCGAGTGAATCTTTCGGTGAACAACTACGCATTTTGATTCAGCCGTCAGAGACAATGCAGTGCGTCTGAAAAGGTAAACGGAGAGAGAGAGAGAGAGAGAGAGAGAGTGACTAAACAAAGATGAGAGAGGATTTCAGTCGGGCTGCACGAGCCGCAAATTTTGGTACACCACCGCGAGAACAGATGAATGCAATAATCTAAAATAGTAATGCTCATTTTTGATTATTTCAAGACTACGACTACAAACTACAGCCGTAATAGTAAACATGACTGAATTGAACCAACTGCGTTACTTTATCTTCTGAAGTGTCAAGTCGCTTTTTAAATCAGATGTGGAAAAATTGAAATGAATAGTTTGGTCTCTGGTGTGTCTACCCACCCATCTCATGTGAAATTAAGCAACCAAGTAAATTTTATTACCCGCCTATTTTTCAAAGATGTGCTTGTGCGGGGTTGCTCGGAGTTTTGCGTATCGGGACGGCACAATTCCACAAATTGACATCAAAGCCCCATTCGACAGGAACAGGCAGAGGCACGATCAAGTTTAGGCTAAATGGTAAGCAGAGCTGCAAGGTTAGGGGCGCGAACAGTGTTACCGGCATTTGCTTCAGATAAACGGCACATACGCGAATGTTCGACTTTTCGACATGATCGATCTCATCACGCTGAGGTGAAATTTAGAATAAAACGTATTTTATGTTTTCATTCGTCCTAATTTGTTTGGTGTCAACAAACCACCCAAAAATGCTGAGGCGGCCTAAAAACCGAATGACTATCACAAGCAGCTGCGCCTGTGCCCATGTCAGCTGCACCTGTGGCTGACGTAAGCGGGCAAATACCATCAACTGTCATCTCCGCGCTGAACGGATGCTAATAAACTGGGGGGGGGGGGGGGGGGGGGGGGGGGGGCGGCTGAACAGAGCACAGAAAATAATGCTTACAACAACAACTTACTGGTGATGACGCCTCCGGAGAGCGAGGCCAGGAAACCCACGCTGACCAGCACGACGGTGATGAGACGGCCCCTCTTGTGGCGTTGCAGCATGATGAACATGAGCAGCCCCACCACCCCGTGGACGAAGAGTGAGGAGAAGAGGCACCACAGGAACACCCAGTACCACATCTCTGACGGGGGGGGGGGATAATAACCAGGATGAACGACGAGCCCCAAAAACACACGCAAGTGTCCATTTAAATTCAGATTAGCATTAGCAACGGTAATAATGAGGGTACCAGAGTTCAAACCCAAAGTGCAATTTTTTTGCATATCCGTTAAACCTAACCGTTCTAGTTTCCCGAGCGACGATGTCTACATTTATGGATCAATTGGCGGTCGGACCGAGCAGCGAGATGTGCGCTGTCCTGCACGGATGCACAAGTGACTCTTTGTCCCATGCGGCAGCTCTACCGGACTCGGCCAGACAGGAGGCCAACGTCCGAGACGGGACGGAGAGAACAAGTACAAATCAGACGGCGCTTCCAAGATGTATAGAGAGAGGCATTCTGTCATGCTCCATTGGGATCCTTCGTCTCGATCCGGTTGCACAGGCGTCCAATTGAGTCCGGATGGATTTTCGCAAAGCTCTTTTTGAGAGTGCCAGGAACCACGGGAGGATCAGGACCACCATCGGCTCGACTGGCGTTGGCCTTCCTTTTAGCCATACCCTTTCAGAACCAAATGGCTGCAAAACCCAATTTGGTTTTAACGTCTGTGCCACGAAGACATCCACGAAAAGAGCTGTCAGAAGGTATCAACGCAGTTATTTAACAAAAGGCCTAAAACTCCTGTCGCGGATCGCATTACAATGTGCAGGTGTAACGCTGAGTGCACATGGCTGACATTTCCCTGCACACACATTCTCGCTGTGACCCTATTTCAGGTCTCAGTAGGTCATTTTTCACCAGATTGGATTGGTAAAGGCGGGGTGGGGTGGTGAGGGGGGTGTCAGGTGGCAGTATTCTACTCCCCTGTGTTGTGCTTCTGCTTCCACGCAGCTCGACAAGCGCTCAAGCTTCCTGCCGACTCAGCATCCCCCGACTACCTCTTTTTCGCTCATGCCCGACACGTTGCTCAACGCGCAGGATGTGACGCAAGCGGCTCGAATGGTTGCAGTGCTGCAATCGGAAATTACCACATGTCCGGTTCTTTTAATATTCTGCATAGAGAGGTTCAACGAAATATTTGTGTGAGAAAAATTCTCGTTTCCCGAATGCAGAGCGGAATCTGGCATTGCTGTAATTTGGGTGAAACCTGTTCGCACAGGGCAAGTAAAATGCTCTGTTGATTCACGAAAACAGATTTTAATTTATTATTAGATATTTTTTTAATCAAATGCTCTTCCACGAGATAGCAATGAACATGTGTACCCAATTTTAGAACCACATAGATGTTTGAATAACTCTCGTTCGTGGCATGTCGCAAAACTGTCACTCTTGTGAGGACAAACGCTGTACAAGATGGATGGATGGATCTTTTTTTAATTTTTTTTTTTAATAGAGTACGTTTGTATTTATTAGACATATGTCAGATTTGACCGCTTACCGAGCCGTATCTCTAATTTATTAATTTAAGTGAAGCCGGTTTGTGCAGGGAAAGTAAAAATCCTCAAATTTCCCATTTCTTTCTTTTTTTTCATTTGATACTGGCAGTACAGACGATTGAGTCTTTTGAAACTTCACCTGACAGTTTCATGGCAAGCAACGACCGTCTTGGCTTGATCGTAAATTGCCAGAATATGAATTCATACACAATAAAAGCAGTGAAAATGACACGGAGAAAGGCATCGATTTTTCAAGCCTTCTCGCTCATGGCAAGCTAGACAAAGGGGGATGCACATCATTCAGTCCACAGAAGGGTGCACCCACGTCACAAAAAATACAAATTGGCTAGAAATAACATTTCTCATGGAGCCCGCTGCCTGACCAGGCGTCATTCGCTCTTCTGTGAGAGTAATGCGTGGTCGTGGGTCAGCATGTGAGCACAAATATCACCTTACGCCGCTTTAAATGACACTCGCGCGTCCACGGCTGAATCACGGATGGCACCTCTCGTCCGGCATGCATACCTGTGAAGTGCTGCAACGTCGTCCCTTGCACCCATAGACTCAGCACTTGCTGCACCGACAGATTAACGGAATAATCCCTATTTGTTGACATGTTTCTGCCACCGCCCGCGGTCGCACCCTCCTTTTATCGAGTAGCCGTACTTGGCTTGAAGCGAAGGCATGGGGGAGACCGGGGTGGCATTGGTTGTGAGGCGGCTCTCCCCGGCGCGGCTCGCCTCTACCGGTGCCTCTGTTTCGGCTTCGCGTCCGTCTCCGCGTCGGGAAGGGAAGGGTCGTGGGCTGTTCGCTTCATCCTCGGTTGCGGCGGCGGTGTGGAGGCCATGATGAGGATGGCAGCCGGAGCTCAGGCAGGAAGGCGCACGGTCACTCGTCCTACATCGAGTTGCCCAGCGACATAACCCTTAAAGGGACAGGCGCCCCTTTTTTTTTTTTTTTTTTTTTTTTTTTGAAAGAGACGCAAATTACGTGGACATATTTCGCATTAAAGCACCATTCCTGAATAAGAGACAGGGGTCAAAGGGTCGGTTTTTTGTTTTGTTTTTTTGCTACCGACTGTTCCTCTTAAAATATTGTGAAGCAGTGTACAAAGGTCTCGGTTTCAACCCCTGGAAAGTTGTTTTATCGATGCCGTTTGAAACTCCTGACAAGGACCGCCCTCTGCCGGGACGCGAAGTTAAGATTACTGACATTTTTACCGATGTTTTGCTCGGGTGGGACAGTTGTGGTCATTTGCTCAGCACAGCACTTCCAGCAAAACACAAATAGGCTTAATAAATGTGTTTTGCTCATGTGACGTCAGTGATATGTAACACCGTCAATTCCAATGTGACATGCCACAATAATATTGAAACGCAGAAACGTTTCTCGATTTAAAAAGCGCCAGTTACGAGAATATTTATTTCTGTTAAGGTGATCACATTCCGTGTCATTAATTTCACTGTCCTGTAGCTTGCTTGCCATACTTTGCCTCTGTGTGTTCGGTTTCAAGATATTTACAAAATATATGTGAATGTGAATAAATGTGTTGAAGAAAAATACAGTTTTAGTCCACCTTTTTCATTCCTCAGGATCTTTTTCTCTTAGGAGAGCGTGACGAATGAATGACGTTTTACAATGCTTTGAAATGATGTCTTTTACAACAACGTTGACGCGTCTTATCCACTAGAACTGATAAACATGGCACAAAGTGCACCTGCCGTTTTGTCACGTGAGGCTTAAAACGTATCTTTTGAGAAAGAAGACATTTCATCTGTGCTGTATGTTGCACATAATGCACATTTTACAATAAAGTTGTACTTGAATTGAAGGCAAAGCGTTGGACACACGGTGCATGCGCATAAATTACGTAGGACTCGAAAATACCCACGTGACTGTAACATATCAATTGAATTTACACATTCACAAATTAGAAAGTATATCATAAGTCGGTACAGACAATTGAAGAGACGTTCGTTTTTTTTCGGCACAGGCTTTGCAATTAAACCGAATGTAGCCAGTTTCCCGCTATTTTGGTCAAATCCGCAATGAATTCCGATTGATATGCTTTAGATGAGGAGTCGTGGATGCGGGCTCAGTTGAAGTGCGGAACTAGAGCACAAAATGAGACTGCGGTCAAGGCAGCCTCCACTCGCAAAACTGAAGTCAAGTCAGCCGCCACATTGTGAATAATGTGCGTTATGGTAATGTACCGCCAACGAGCGGCGTTGGCCACCTTCAAAATAAAATCTTACCCAACGAAGGCCTGCGCGTCAGGCCTGGTTTGGATTTTAAAAAAATGTGATGAAGTAATTTCTTGTCTGTCAGGCAACGATGGTTTCACCCAGGGATAAAAAAAAAAAAAAAAAAAAAACAGCCCCAAGAAGCGTTCTCATGTCTAGATGGAAAAAGGCAAAAGTAATTCGGCATCAATTTGACCTGATATTTAAAAAAAATAGCTATCATCTATCAGACAAGAAGGAGGACAAATTATGGCACCCCACGTACCCAACCAGACTACTGTACTCTCATTCAGATCGGATGGTCCCTTTCAAAATAAAACGCCTCTGAAATCTTATATGCTTGACCTTTTCAAGCCAATTCAAGCAAGAATAATAAAAGCAATTTTTGAAAGTTAGTGCGATTGGAGCGTTGGCCAGCAGGTGGTAGTATCCGTCCACGTTGCATTGCTTGTTTGTCCATCGGCCGAACCGACTGCAGCGACCAGGACACTCGAAACAAAAGTTTACACATTGTCCCCAATAAGCCACCATTTATTTTTCACAAAAGGAGGCATGTACCTGCATTTTCATACAGCTTTTTTAGTTATTGTTATCATTTGAGGCTTTGGCACGTATGTTGTCTGTCCACATTTGAAAAGTTAGTGATTGTTCATTTTCATGAGAGGTATTGCCTTTTTTCCCCCCTTCAAATGGGGATCACCTCATTGGATATTGGATAGAACCATTGTGGGGCTTTTTGAACCTTTTGAACTTTTGTATTTATTTATTTATTTTATGTTGAGCCTATTTTACGTTGATGTAACGCAGTGTTTCTCAAATAGTGGGGCGCCCCTCCCCCCCGGGGGCCGCGAGGCTCTGTCAAGGGGGGCGCGTTTGACCTCGGCTTTTTATTTTTTAGGTTTTTTTTTTACTGTCCAAGAATAAAGTGCAATTGCAACTCAACTACATTAGGGGGCAGTGACGCTCTCGTTGGTAGAGCGTGCGCAGGGAGCATTCGCTCGGTGTTTCGTTTGCACTGAGCACGAGCGCTTTGCACACGTCACTGAGGATGAGTAGACAGGAAGTGGACAGGCGGAGAGAGACTGAGGTCAGAGACAAACGCAAGTATCCGGAAAGCTAAGACGAAGCGTATGTAGCGCTTGGCTTCACTGTGACTACGGTGGGAGACGAAAGACCCGTGTCTAATTACGTCTAAATGTTGGCAGCGGACAGCATGAAGCCAAATAAATTAAGTCGTCTCTTAACGACATTACACCCCAATCACGCAGATAAGCCGCTTGAGTTTTTTTTCAGTGAAAACGTGCCGAATATTGCCAATAATCATCCCGCTTTGTGACTGCTACTGGTAGCCATTAATTCAGACATCATCTTTGATTTAAAAAAAATCACAAATTATTTGATATATTTTTGTTTTGCTGGTTAAAGTTGATTTAATATTGTGCTCTGAGATAATGTTGGTGATTAGTTTGAATGCATTAGTTACTGATTTTATGTGATTTTATTTTTCAGTATCCTATGGTTTGACATGGTCAGTCAAAAAATATTTTGATGGGTGGGGGCGAGATGTTTTCCTCTTCCTAGGGGTGGGGGGGCATGACAAAAAATAATTGAGAACCACTGCTTTAAAGTCACCACACGAGAGGCCCATGGTGTATATCGCGGCAGGATATGCTGGCATCCACCCACGAGAGTGGCGCGCGTAAAATATATTTGGCTCGCTCAAAATCCCCTAAAATCGCATTGCGCCACGCCACGACTTGGACCCGCTTGTAGCTGGGTCTACATCCTAGACGACTTTCTGTCGTAAAATTGTCAGGTGCGCTGGGGGCGTGTCAAAATACAATTTACCTTTGCTCTTTTTTTCAATGCAGACATCGTAGAAAGGCAGATCAACTAACCAGAAATAGTGCCGTGAAAAAGCTAAGGTGAAACAACCTCAACTGTGATCGAAAGGCGGACAAAATGTTCAGCATTTTTTTGCGACATGAGCCACATGATGACCTCGTTTTCTTAACATTGATTCATCAGAACCACACCATCCATGATATTTGAACAGCACACGAGCATATCAAAGTGTGATTTAAATTCATGTGACCGAAAAGGCTCATCAAACAAAAAGTGAATTACAAAGAAAAGTGCAATATTGCAGATCGTTTTTTTTTTTTTTTTTGCCGTGAACAAATCTTAGCCCTGAGGTGACGTTTCCTTAATAAGGGAGCCCAACCCGCCCACGGGCAACGGCGTGAAACAACTTGTCCTCTTTGTAATGATTCACCACTGAATATTTCAAAGCAGAAAGAAAGAAGACTTGTCGTTCACTGGAATTACATCACCTCGAGCAATACGGAGCTCGCGCTGGTTTCCCCACAATTAAAAAAAAAAAAAAAAAAAAAAGAGACATTGGCAATCACTGAGCAGGCAGATGAACAGCGAATACAATTTTCAGCGCGCTGGTTCACCTTTTGAACAGTTCAACTTTGACCTTGTCTGGTCGATTACTTCATTGGGTTTTTTTTAGGGGGGGTTAGACTGTAAGTAACAGGAATTAGAGTGGAAGGAATACACGGTAGAAGGATCGGGTTGCGTCACGAGGTTGTTATTGCCAAGCCTTTGACGTCTGTCTGTTTTTCATGCGGAGGTAAGTGCAAGATCAAACCCTCTCTTGTTCTCCTGACGTCGTGTGTTCCACTTATAATGCATTTGATTGTTCACGTTCTGATTGTCAGCACCTGCTTTGAGAGAGCCAGCATAGGTGAGGCGCAGTGACACTCACGGTACCTTCTTGTGCTTGAAAAGGGGGAATTCCCACATCAGTGAGCTCCATTTGAAAAGAAAGGAGGAAAAGGGATTTTTTTTCCCTTGGGTGACAGAGCATCATAGCATCATCCATCCATCCATTTTCCGATCTGCTTTATCCTCACAAGGGTCGCGGGGG